TCTTTCAGTTCTTGGAAGGGAGAGTGCCACCTACAGAGTCACAACACCACTTTAGCAGCACTTTGGTTTTTTTTACTCTAGTACTGGCAAGCCTCAACCCTGGCTAATTAGTAATGGTTGACGAAATCAGAACCAAAGGTAACATTAAAAGGCGGAGTCCTGACTGCCTGAACTAGCCTGTATGTGACAACATGATCAGCGCAGTATTCTAGGGACACAACAGATCCCCCAAAAGATGTTCCTAGGGTATTCAGTTATTGCCTAGCATTTGACTTGTTTGGATTGGGGATAAGAAATCTTTCTGCAAGGTTCAGAGTCATACATTCAGCAACAAGTCATACATTCTGATAGCAGTCTATGCTGAACCACCCAATCCAACATCTAACATAGAAAACCAGTTTTGAGAGGGACAAAGGAGTCTATGGGATGCTCACTACATCTTGCCAAAAGAATCTTGCCCAAGAGGCTAGACATGGCAGTCTGCTGGACCTGCTAACATCACTGTAATCATTAGTCAAAGCAAAATCAAAAGGTTCTCATGAATGAAGGGAAATGTCCCACAAACTCTGCCACCCAATAACCCTTGCCTATACAAGGGAGTAAGAGACAAACTCTGCTCAAAATATGAGATTCTATGTGGCTAACCAATCCAGATTTTTAAAATAGAGAATGGTAAATTCATTTACCTTGAATCTGCTAGTAAAGAGATCCATTTTAGATACCAGTTCTTTTCTGTTATAAATTCCTTGCAGTCCCAGAAGACACTTCAGCCGCACTTCGGGTTGCTAGAAGACAAAGAGCAATGTACTAACATTGACTAATCTTAGGCATTAATGCTATTTACTAATGATTTGATGCTCGTCCTGTGGTAATGGGAGCCCTATAAATACCTTTGATGCTCGTCCTGTGGTAATGGGAGCCATAATGGGTACAATAGACTAAGCAAAAACTGCCTCAATCTTCATTAGCAGATAGTGTTGTAGTTATGTCACATATGCCTATAGTATACCATGGGCCAAAATTAGAGGTGATCTCTAAGGGCATGTCTACACTGAAGAGCTATTTCAAAATAATTCCCCTTATTTCGAAATAACAAGGCGAGCATCCACACTAACAAGGTCTGTTATTTCAAAATAATAACTCCCGTTTGTGAAGAAGAATGAGTTTATTTCGAAAGAGTTATTTGGGGAGTTATTATTTAGAAATAACTTATTTCAAAAAAACCTGGTAGTGCAGACATAGCCTAAGCTCTTTTTACATTTTCATAGACTTACAAACAATTACCAACGGGAGTGCAAGGAGTCCACGGTCATGTAATTCACATGCCCAAAGTGTAAGAAGGTGAAGCCAGGGAGGCACACTTATGGCAAGCCATCGTATATCTCTCTGCTATTTATTTTTCTTGCAAAAATTTCCTCAGATATGAGTTAAGCCAACTTAGAGTCACTTAGTTTTGGGGATGTAAGTGGGCCAAATTAAAAACTAAAATGTATACAGGCAGTCCCCGGGTTACGTACAAGATAGGGACTGTAGGTTTGTTCTTAAGTTGAATCTGTATGTAAGTCGGAACTGGCATCCAGATTCAGCCGCTGAATCTGGACACCAGTTCTGACTTACATACAGATTCAACTTAAGAACCCCAGGCGTCCCCAAGTCAGCTGCTGCTGAAACTGATCAGCAGCTGATTCCAAGAAGCCTGGGGCAGAGCAACT